ATGCAGATTTATAGAACATTTCCATCACAGCAGAAAGTTCTGTGGGACAGCGCTGGTGCAGAAGACTATTTTTATGGGACCATTTTAGAAGAGTATTTTATAACTGATTGCAACTTATGAATAAATCTGTATCTACCCAGAATTAAAAACCCTCACTGAAATCTAAAAATCCTCAATGATATGTTTATTCCAGTTTCTATTTCAAACAACTCCTTTTTTTTTTGAAAACTCTTTTTAAAAAGTCAACGTAATATCAATATATATAAATGCAATACTGAAAAATGTTCCACTCCCCAGAGCAGCAATTCCCCGAAACACTTTCAAGATATCCAAGATGGCAAAACTGTTAATACTAAGATAGTCTTTGCATTTTTCACTATGTTGGCACTGCACTAATCATGGGTAAAACTGCCGGCACCTTAGCACCATTCAAATTAATGGCACCAAACTACAGTAGTCTTCACTGCCATGTGCCATATATTCACAAGAGAGGAAAAAAAGCCGGGTTTACTTAACAATGCCCTTGATAAAGCAGTAAAAACTATTAATTTTTAGTAATCTTGGTCCCTGTGTACACAGCTTTCTAATATTCTTAATGTGATGAAATGAGAAGTACACATAAAGCACTTCAGCTGCACACCAAAGTCTCAAAGAAAAGCATTTATGTGACAGCTAACTGCTTCTGCTCATGAAACATCGTATTGATTTGAAAGAGCTGACACACAAATTAAATTATCCAGACCTGGGTATATAGCAGACGTTTTTTTCAAAAATGAATGAAACAAGACTGTCACTTTAAGGAAAACAATTGATAGTACTTGTTGCCAATTATAAAACTTGAGCTTTCAAGCAAAAGTTAAAATTTTAGAAAACTTCTATTCATTACCATGAGCTTGACGAGTTTTTCTAGTACTTATACTTTCCAATAAGTAACGGCTTTTCTGATGGGTGTTGATATTAATGAATGTGTTTTTTTGATACTGCATAATATAAAATATCCATTTAATGCACAAGATAGACCAATAGATTTTAATGTAATGGAATATAAAAGTGCACTGATATAATTCAAAGTTCACATTGCAACTAACCTTTATAAACTACCACTTGTCTAATTTTAGTGTAATATCAAAGAAAATCTGTAATTATCTGAAAAAGCTCTTAAAATATTCCTCCCTTTTCCAACTACATACACATCTCTGTGAGGATAAATCTCCTGCACAGACTTCAACTAATACAATAAACAGCAACGGGTTGAATGCAGAAGCAGCTGTGAGAATCCAGCTGCCTTCTACAAAGCAAGTCATAAAAAGCAATTTGTGAAAAGGTAAAACAGTGTCACTCTTCTCAGCAAATTTTTTTAGAAATGTTTTAGAAAATAGGTATTTTTCATTAAAAATATATTTATGTTAACATGTAAAGAAACTACTGCTATTTTTAAATAAATTAATAAACCATTTTAAATTTCTCAATATCATAAAGATAGATATAACCGAAAAATCAAAAGCTCTTTGGGGTCCTCTAACTCTTAAGAAGGTAAAGGAATCCCAAGATAAAAAGTTGTGAACATCTATCTCAGAGAAAGAGGAAAAAATGACAAATAAAAGAAATACATAAATTAACATAAAACGAACACACATACCCTGGAAAGCATATCAAGAGGCATAAAATATCCCTAACAACAAGAACACCAAGATCCAAATAGGACACTTATTCAAAGAATATCTAGGGTTTTAAAAATGTATCTTTTCCAAGGACAGAGAAACTTTCCACATTTTGAAATTTACTTTTATGATTTCTTGACTGCCTCTACCACTAGGCTGTAAGTCCCATGAAGATAGGTGTTTTGTTCACCACTATGGCTAGCCCAGCACCTGGAACGAAGCAGGTATTCAAATATTTGTTGGATTGAAAACAAAAAAAAAAGACAGAAGACTTAAAAACAGAACCCACCAAGGCCTCTATTCAAATTATAAAGATGACATTTTACAATCAAAATGTATCTATTTACATAGCAATAACAATCGTAACCGCTACCATTTATTTACTATGTGCCAGGCATTGTATTGGGCATTTTACTTTTAATTCCCAAATCACCACGGGATATACTTTACAGTAAGGAAAATAAGCCTCCAAGAGGTTAACTTATTTATCTAAAGTTACAGGTAGTAAATGACAGAAAATTAAACCCACATTTCTCTGCTTAATAGCCACAAGCTTTTTCTCTACATACTGACATAGTGCTCAAAACTGCATGGTTACCTTTTTTTTTCCCCCCATTTCCTTGCAATTTTCAGGGGAATTCATTTTGTGAAAGTCCTTTTTCCAATCTCCTTCTCTTTTCCACTATCCTCCAACTTCTACCGCTCTGCATCACTCAATTAAGCAATACAGTGAGCTCTCTAGTTGAGGAAGAGTGTATCTTCTCATAACACACTATCAGAAACTTCATTAACAATGACAGAAGTAATATGAAAGATTAAATAAAGAGTGTCAGATTCCAGAACATGAATTAAGGCTCTCTGACCCACTGATCTTGCAAGATGGCTTCATCCAGTTACTCAACTGGCCACGATTTGGGTAACGACATCTCAATTCCCAAGGGGCTAACCATGAACTCTGGATGTAACCATCTCTTCAAGGACTGAGCCATGATTTGCCAATTAAGTACCAAGACAGTACCTCTGCCAATTCTTTGTCAGCCTCTGCAAGCAAAGGACCAATACTGAAGTGGCCAGAGCTCCCAAGACTTCCTCCAGGTTCAGGACAACTAGAATAAAAGGAGCTTTGTTCCCAAAGAACATACTGGCCACAATATCACTACAAGAAAAAGCTATTACTGTTACTGCCATTCTCCCCACTGCTTCTGAACAATATATAAATGTTTCTCTTTTTTTCCCCCTTTTGGTGAAAGGAGAATAAAATTAGCAACCACTTAACTATTCAAGGAAAAATTACAATGCCATAAACATTACCATATCATTTGATAATCTCACCACAAGCCAATCTTTTCCAGAGAGGGATGCCCAGAGCCTGTGAAAGTTTTACACTGATTATGTGGAAATCTTTTTAAGCCACACAAAGCCCTACATATGCTTTACCTCAACATCCAGATTAAAGAATATGTACAATATGAGAAAGGACTCTTCCACCTTATAAATCAATTTAGCTGCAATCTGCTAAAGAAACCTTGGCTGGAAAAAAAAAAAAATCATAGGAGGTCACATCTGTGGTCTGTCATTCCATACATCATTCTATAATAGATCACTTTAATAATTCCTATGCTTTGCGTCAAAATCTGGATACACTGATATACTAACATAACAAGATGTGAGTTATAAAAAATGACTTAAGCAATTAGATGCTACCAAGTACATACAAGCTACAAACAAAAATAAAGAGAACTTCAAAATGCTCCATTAAAAAAAACAGTTTGCAGGGCTTCCCTGGTGGCGCAGTGGTTAAGAATCCGCCTGCCAATGCAGGCGACAAGGGTTCAAGCCCTGGTCTGGGAAGTTCCCACATGCCGCGGAGCAACAAAGCCCGTGCACCACAACTACTGAGCCTGCGCTCTAGAGCCCGCGAGCCACAACTACAGAAGCCCGCGTGCCTAGAGCCCATGCTCCGCTACAAGAAAAGCCAACGCAATGAGGAGCCCATGCACCGCAACGAAGAGTAGCCCCCGCTGGCTGCCACTAGAGAAAGCACGCACCCAGCAAGGAAGATCCAACACAGCCAAAAATAAATAATTTTTTTAAAAGTTTGCCTCAATATTACCTAATAATTCTAGTATACAAAAACATGTAATACAAAAGTTTATACTGTCTCCCTGATCCTTTCCCAAAAGTGAAAGTCCCTGCTACCACTCAAATAATGTGAATATAGATTCATATATAGAAGTCCTACCCTTCAAATTCTCTATGGCTTCCTCATAATCAAGTGTTACTTAATACTGTAAAAAGTACACAGAAATTAAAATTTATAATAGCAATCAATGAAAAATAAATAAACAATGAATTTTTCCACAAACTAAGTGTCTTATTTGCTTATGTTCATTTACTAAGCCTTTACCCTAGATGGTCCTCTGAACCCCCAAATCAAGAAGGTTTGTTAAACACTGCACTAGGAAGTTCCAAGAATGCTTGGTGAGACCTACTAGGCCTCATTCACCGAAAAGATACGCATATATTTTAACTCTTCAGGACATGGAAATTGAAACTGACAAGATATACACAGGCATTTTTCTAGGAAAAGGAAAAACATCTAGAAGCTTCTGTGGGATTCTGCCTCAAAAAGGCTACATTCCACCTCCTCTGAGACCTGCCCCCACTCTTAGGAGTGGGACCTTTCAAGATCCCAACCCCATGGCCACACTAATTGGACCAATAATGGAAATTTGGACCAAGTTCAACCAATCAAATTTTCCCTCCCAGGAATATGAAGTGGGGACACTGAGCTAATAACCAGTTTGGCTAGTGGCACTAGAGCTTGAGTTTCTATGTGGCTCCAAGAATGAAGCAGCAATTTTCTTCTGTTTTTGTTAAAGCAGAAAAGACCAGAGTGTGGAAAGACAACTAAAGCAAGATATAAAGAGACAAGAGATGACACCTACTAGCCAGCAAGGAGAAAAGTGCTCTCTGGACCACCGTGTCTCCTGAATGCTTCCCATGGGGTTTCTGGTTCATGTCCTTCATGAAGCCAGCTGCTCTTGGGTGCCTTCAGGTACCTCCTTACCCTTCCCCTCAAAGCACTCCTCTTCCTGTTTCATGCCATCAAAAAATCATCATGACGATTTAAGACACAAATTCACACCAGGATCAATGCAGAAAGGGTATGATTATTCTCACGGTTCATAAGGGATCTGAGTGGTACCAGAGAAGTTGTTTCTATCTACTATCTATAACTTCAGGAGAAATAATAGGACAAAAATAACCGGAGCCTTAAAAGCAAAAATTATTTGTTTGCATAAGCCCTCAGGCTTTGTGCTTCCCTTCAAAACTCACCTGTTCAAAAGTTCTGCTGGTTCACAGCACGAGGTTTGAGCAGACTTTATTCAGGTCCTTTTAACACTGCAAATAATAAAAGTATTAAAGTAAATAACTCAGCAATCTCTTAGGAAACGTTAGAAACGTAATTTTTATCATGAATATGTTTTACAAGAAATGGATTCCAAACCTGGTTAAAATATTAGAATCACCTGATATGCTTATAATCTAGATACCCTGCCCTAACATCTAAAGAGTCTCTCTCAGTAGCTCTGGAATGGGACTGAAAAATATATATTTTTAACCGACGTTCTAAGTGATTCTGATGAAACTAAAAAATGAGCACCACCATAGGGTTTCAGGAAATGATTATTTAGGGTTTTCATCCAAAACTACATTACAGGGATTTGGTATTAACTTTTTTAACATATCTGATAGAAAAATGACAGCTAGCAAGATGGCAATACAGCATGTATCTTATGCAAATAATCAATGAGCCCCAAGGTGTGACCAGTGCCAAAACGTCCAAGGAGCAAAGCTCCAGATGTGCTTTCAGCTGCAAAATCACAACCTTCTTTTAATGCTCTGATGAGACAATATCTTAAAAATCCACAAGATGGTGACATTTCAAGTGACAAGGAGTGGACTGAAACAACAGCTCTAAGTGACTTCTTAGCTAAAATCAAATGATGCTTTGAAGGCTGCTACTAAAAAGTCAAAAAACAGTAACTAAAAATTAAAGTTGACAATTTTACTAACAGCAAGAAAGCAACTTGAAAAAGCCACTTCCACCTCTGATTTAATTTTTCAAAAAAGTAGCCATGTTACAATGTCCAAAAGGTCATCCAACTTTATCCACTGCACTCTACTTTTTTTTTTTTTGGCTGTGTTGGGTCTTCGTTGTTGCTCGTGGGCTTTCTCTAGTTGCAGCGAGCACAGGCTCTAGGCTCGTGGGCTCTAGAGCGCAGGCTCAGTAGTTGTGGCACGTGGGCTTAGTTGCTCTGCAGCAGATGGGATCTTCCCGGACCAGGGCTTGAACCCATGTCCCCAAGCACTGGCAGGCGGATTCCTAACCACTGTGCCACCAGGGAAGTCCTGCACTCTACTTTTTATAAGAGCAAGCAGAAGCAAAAGAGGGGAGAACTAGGTAATAAAAACTCTTCTCTGGGCCTAACTCAAGAGAATAAGCTCTAGGGTATCTCCTATTATTATAACTATAAATAAAGTTCAATTTCAATGAAACTCTGTAGTTACCAAGAAAATATAAAATTGTGTTCCTTAATTACTTGAGGTAAGGAAGCGTATCATACTTTGAAACTATTTTTATAAAATTAATTTTGGCCACTTAAGAGAATATTCTTGGGGCTTCCCTGGTGGTGCAGCGGTTGCGAATCCGCCTGCCAATGCAGGGGACACGGGTTGGATCCCTGGTCCGGGAAGATCCCACATGCCGCGGAGCAACTAAGCCCGTGCACCACAACTACTAAGCCTGCACTCTAGAGACCGTGAGCCACAACTACCAAGCCTGCGTGCCACAAACACTGAAGCCCACGTGCCTAGAGCCCGCGCGCCTGGAGCCCGTGCTCCGCAACAAGAGAAGCCAAAGCCACCACAATGAGAAGCCTGCGCGCAGCAACGAAGACCCAACTCAGCCAAAAATAAATAAATAAAATAAATAAATTTATTTTAAAAAAAGAGAATATCCTTTTGTTTTTCAAACCTCTCCCCTCTTCTCCCCAACCTCAAATAAAATTATGGGCAATCCAACAAAGGTATCATTCTGTATTCCTATATAATTAATATATTTCTCAGTTATCTGAGAGCATAAAAAATGATAAAATGCTATCCTGGTCAAGAAATATTAGGAGTCTAACTATAAGTACTTGTCTGTGGAATAAAAATCTACTTATATTTTTAAAGACATGCAATTCTTCAGGGCATTAAAAATGAATGGAAATATTAGGACTTAATCACCATAAAATCCTAGTGGGGGTTAAGGATGAAAAAAAATACTTGGGTTCAGAGTTTTACAACAATCACCAAATAATGTTAAGTCTATTAGAACTGCTGAAGAAAACAGACATTGAACTTGCCTCTAATATACCTGGATTAACACCAACATAGGCTGTAGATTCAACCTAATGAGAGTGGTCCCACTAAAATCTATAAGAAATAGAATAATACAGTACTGAAAATTTAGTCGTCAGGGGCTAACAGAGAATGGCAAATGAAGTCAGTCTTAAAAAATGGCACAAATCAAAGATCCTTTAGAAGGGCAAGGATAAACAGGACAGTAATAATCTGGTCACCCAAAATGGTTCTCCCAGATAGCAATCACTATCAATAGTGTCATCTTCCAGTGTGAAGGTCAACAAAAATAAAGGCATATAGAATACTAAAACGCAGAGTCATGAGAACAAATGAGCTGATATGACATCAAAGACATTATAATTTGGAACTGTGATTTCAAAAACTCACCAAAGGAACAAGAGAGAGAAATGCAATTCATTAAAGCACTATCTCCTCACTAGCATCACTATGCCTCCTCTTGGCCAAGGAGCTCCACTCACACCCTGAAGTCGCAATTCCTAACTTCTCATGATTTTCAGGCAAGCCAAGACAAATTCTTTTTCATATATGCAACTCACCAACAAAAGCATTTCAAAGCCAAAATATTAAATTCCTCAGATGAATTAAAATGAAAGAGGACATTTATGAAAGCTCAGTAATAAGAATATGGAGATAAGCTGAAAGAAAATCATAAAAAATTTTTTTCCAAGAAAAAGTCTACTAGTATAAAATTAATCGAAGAACTAGTCTGAAAGGTCAAAGCTGAGGAATAAAAAACTCAGCACAGAAAGTTCTACACGTGTAAAATGCTATAAAAGATATACAAACAAGTTAGTTGAACAGTCCCTGAGGAACTTAAAACGAGGCTGGACAACACAGAAATCATTAAGAGGAATTCTTTACCATTAAAAACAACGTGAGTTAATACACTTCTTCCAGGTTATATTCCTTAATGACCTGTGTCTAAATTTCAAAGGAAATTCATTTCCCCACATTTTCAAATATTCTGAAGTAATTCAAAGATCCTCTTCCTAGAAAGCAATTTCTTTTGAAAAATCCTTTTATCATCAATCTCATTTAAAAACTTTTACTTTTGAGAAAGCTATTTCATGACAATTTCCTGAAATACTTTATATGAGCATCCTGAATTTTCCAAATTGGGGGAGGGGAAGGCTGTCATGTTGGAGGAAAGAGGTGTGGAAAAAGACTCCAGGGCAACTGAATAACCCCACTCACTCATCTTAGAACCAGTGAGCTGGGTACACACTTCCTACTAGGTTCCCTAGTGATCATGCCTCTCTGGCTAGGCTTAGCCTCCATACTCTTCCCAGCCACACATGATCTGCTCCCACTTCAGTTTCTGCCTCAGGGTCTTTGCCCTCCCTTCCCTAGCCTGGAGCATTCCTCCTCCAGAGAGCCACAGGAATAGATCCTTTACCTGTGTCAGGTCTTCCCTCAAATATTAGCTTCTCCCTGTGGCGTTCCCAGGGCACTCCACCTAAAATTAACCCCTCCCCCAGCTCCCTATTAACCTATTACCCTGTCTCATTTTTTTCCCACATCACTTATCACTACACTATATATCTTACCTAAGTATGTATTTATCTGTCTAGGAATGAGTTTCATGGAAACAGGAATTTTTGGTCTGTTTTGCTCCCAGCACCCACCAGTGTAGTAGGATCTCGATATTCTTCAAACAAATGCACAAATGAAAGAATAAATGAATGGAAGCATATAGTCCCTTTTCCCTCTTCAGTCTCAAAATCCAAAAATGCTTTGTCCGGTATAGAAAAGGTTCCAAGTCCTTTCTTTTCTAGTGAATCACCACCATCACCATTGTATTCCCCAGAAGTAAATGTCAAAAAGACTGTGTGACATTTTTCCAGATACATACCACTTTTACTTTTTTTTTCTAGTGTCTTCTACTGAGGTAACATTTGATGTAACAGGAAAGTACATATTCCAATTTGAGCACTCTGAAAGCTGCTACACTAGTTAAAACACATAAAAACACCAACAAATAAGACAACGCTTTATGTTCTAACCAAAACAGACAAACTCTGAAAGGCCAGAGCTGCAAATATTAGAAAGATGAAAGTTAATGTTCAGAAAGGATGACAATTTTTTTTTAATCTAGAAAATCACTAGATTCTAAAAAGGAAATAATATGTAAGGAAAGATTATCTTCCATGCATACAAACTGGGAATCAAAACTGCCTATAATCCAAGGTATTTAACATTGACTAAGTATAATCCAAGGTATACAACACTGGATAAGAATCTGCTCACAGGTTCTGGCCCCTTCCTCAATTTCTTGCAAGTTAAACTGAAATACTCACCTTTCTTACAGAGAAATTAGGTGTGCTTAAGTGCTCTTTCAGGGAAAGAAAAAATTTAAACAAAAACAACAGTGCTAGATAAATGCAACAGTGCTAGATAAATGCGTGACTGCTTCCCAAACACAGTCACACAACCTGCTTTCTTGACACCCCCCTTCTCTGGTCGCTTGGTTTATGTTTCAGCCACAAAACTGAAATATTCTGAGTGCTTCGTGGGGAACTACTGTCACTTAAGGCTAATGCCCATTTCAACCTTATGTCAATGTTCGGGTCCCAAAGCTGCCACGGGTTCTACCTTCCCAACCTCTGTCCCAGGTTCCGATCATGGATCCACCTGGCTTCAGGCCTGGTCCAGACCCAGTCCTCTCGCCACGGAAGGAATCTCCCCAGTGCAGATGCTCGGCGAGGAAGGCAAGGGCGCATCTCCCAGAGGCCAGGTGTGGGGAGGAGCGCGGGCAGGAACAGCTGTCTGGCCGCAGCAGCTGTTACCCCGGGCACCCCGAGGCTGGGCGGGTGGCTGGCCCCGAGGACCAGGTAGCAGAAGGCGAGCCCTCTGGCCCTAAGCAAGCCGGCCTGACACTAGCCATCCCACCACCCTCTTCCCTTCCTCGGCTCCCACCGCGATGCCAACGGGCCCCGGAAGAAGGGGCTCTCCAGTTCGGCAGCCGAGACGCGCCCGGGCCCGGCTTGCCCCCGGCCGGGGAGTCACTCCGACCCCGCACCTGAACTGTCCCTTCGCCTGACGCCCGAGCCGGCCGCGGCGACTGCCGGGCGGCCTGGGGGTGTCCATGCGGCTGGGCCGGGTCAGGCCAGAGCGGCGGGGACGCGAGCGCGGGCGGCAGGCCCGGGAGACCCAGGCGGAACGGCGGAGCCGGGGCGCGGAGCGGAGCCGGGCTGGGGAGCGAGACCGAGTCACTGGTTACCTGCGGTCCGGGACAGGGAGTCTCTCAGAACCCAAGTCAGTCCTCAGCCTCAACAACACAAGATGGCCGACACGTCCCCACGCACGTCACGTGACAGCGTGCTCATTCCGCCACGCCCCCTGCTCTGCCCTCGCCCCGCCTCCCCTCCCTCCCAGCTTCTCCAGCCTCCCACGACATCCTTCCTTTCCGCAGCTTCCCTCCCTTCTTTCCCGGGCACGCCCCTGCCCGAGCCCCGGATGTCAGGCTGGAGGAGGGCGGGGCCACGGCAGGGCGCAAGCGCCTACGGGTCCTTTGGCCGGCGCTCCCTGCCTGCCCTTGAGTTGAGTAGAGTTGGTGTCCAGAGCTGGAGCTGGGCCAAGCGCCGTGTGACTCACCGTCCTCTGCGCCCAATCCAGAGCCCATTGGCAGTTCAAAAAGCTCTGCATCATTTAGGAGCTGATTTTCCACACCAGAACTTTTACACAGGTTTTCATCCAGCATTTTCCTGCCCGTTTGCCATCCTAGAGAAAATAGGGAAGTGACAAAAGCTGAGGTTCAAAGCAGTTTGTCTGCTTGTTAACGGTTCCGGAAGAACTGAGAATTCATTCTAGATTCTTGGAATGTGACAGCAGGGGAGGACTTTAGAGCTCCAGCTCCGTCCTAGTGCATCCGGGACTATAATTCTTTGACCTAAAAATCTCCCAATTGGGGGTTGCCAAATGAAATACAGGCCACCAGCGATATCAGGGACATAACTTACACTACAAGATTATTCATCGTTTTCCTGAAATTCAAATTTAACTGAGCGCCCTGTATTTTTTTTCTATATAAATTTATTTATTTATTTAACTTTATTTTTGGCTGCGTTTGGTCTTTGTTGCTGCGCGCGGGCTTTCTCTGGTTGTGGCGAGCAGGGGCTACTCTTCGTTGCGGTGCGTGGGCTTCTCACTGTGGAGCACAGGCTCTAGGCGCCTGGGCTTCAGTAGTTGTGGCACGTGTGCTCAGTAGTTGTGGCGCACGGGCTTAGCTGCTCCGCGGCATGTGGGATCTGCCTGGACCAGGCCTCGAACCTGTGTCCCCTACATTGGCAGGCGGATTCTTAACCACTGCGCCACCAGGGAAGTCCGGGTACCCTGTATTTTTATTTGGTACATCTGGCAGCTCTACTCTTCTCAGGTCATCCCGTTCTTTCCTTGTGCCTCCAACCTCTCTCTTATTTATGGGATCCTTCCCATTATCTTTTAAAAATACTCAAATGTCTTTCATCTTAAAAGTTAATGTTAAAAACTCCAATTCCCCCTCCAACAACCTCCCTACCTCTCTGTTCCCTTTCAAAGCCAAACAGCACAAAAGAGGTGTATATAAGCACTTTCCTGATTCCCACACCGGGCAAGCAATCATCGACCATTCTAATGTGGCTTCTATACTGACCCATCCACCAATTGCTTGCTCTAAGGACACATCAACCTACAGGTAGATAACTGGAATTTTTCAGTCCTCATCTTGACTTAGTGTTTTCCCGTCTTCATTGTGATTGACCACTCCCTACTTTCAGAAATACGTTCTCCCTTGACCTTTATGCTGTCTCTTGCTGCTCAAAGTGATCAACGGACCAGCAGTATCAGCCTCACTTGGAAGCTTGTTATAAACACAGAATCTTGAACAGATCCTTCACAGTCCCATTCTGCTGAACTCTAGAATCACCCACATTGCTCCCCTCCCCTTCCTCTGTCCCCTTAATTTAATGCTCCGGATATGCCCATGTATGAAGGTCCTCAAATATGCTAATTTGTTTTAGCCTTTGCACATGCTGTTCCCTCTTGTCATGATGCCATTCCCAACACTTACGCCATTTCTCACCAACCTGCATGACTCCCGCTCATCTTTAAAAGCCTAAATCATGTGTTATTGATGTGGCTTATCAGGCCACATCTCTGATGCTATGCCACCTGTGCTGGTAATTTTATATATGTATAAAATATACATATACAAAATTGTATATATGGTATAATTTACCTATAGTAAATTTAGTATTTTTAGTATGCAGCTTTGCAACTTTTGACACATTTATACAGGTGTGTATAACTACTACTAAAATCAAGGTACAGAATAGTCCTATTGCCCACAAAAGTTCCCCCAATGATCCTTTGTAGTCAGCCCTAACACCTACTTCCAGCCCCTGAAAACATTGTTCTGTTTTCTCTCCTTATAGTTTTGCTTCATGATGTCATATAGATAAAACCATAGAGCATATAGCCTTTTGAGACTGGCTGCTTTCACTTAGCATCATACGTTTGAGATTCAGCCACACTGTTGCATGTTTCAGTACTTTCTTCTTTTTTATTGCTGAGTAGTATTTCCTTGTATGTATGCACTATATTTGTTCATCCACTCCCCAGTTGACGAACATTTGGATTGTTTCCATTTGGGGAGATTATGAATAAAGCTGCTATGTTCACATGCTGGTATTTGTGTGAACAAAGGTTTTTATTTCACTTGGGTAAATACCTAGGAATGAAATGGATGGTTACGTGGCAAATGTTTGTTTAACTTTGTCAGAAAGTGCCAAACCATTTTCCAGAGTGCCTTAGCCATAATTTTAGCCCTAAAGTATAAGCTTTCAGAGAGCAGGAAACAAATTTAAGGCATGATGATGATGGTGATGATAAAAGCTAACGGAATCCCGTGCTTTTAACCATTACACATACTGCATTATTCAACTTTGCATCCTCAGCAGCTGGCATTGTCCAGGTACACAGTAGATACTCAAAAAATACCTATAAAATCAAATAAATTCTTGATTACCTACTCTTCAGGAAGGGCGCTTTTCTTCTTTTATTCACTCTGACTCTCCTATGTTTCATCAAATAGTAGTTGTAAAATTACAGCAGTAGACTCTGCCTGCCCTAGTCAGGGATAATAACAAAGTTTCAGCTTTATTGTAACATTGATAGAAGCAGAGAAGTTGAAAATAATAGATCATTAGGGGGAGGGAGGAGTAAGAGTTTAGCTCAAAATAAATTTAATTTGTAAGGAACACCGGTTGATCGACTGTGACAGATGTATTTTTCTAAAGAAAATACAACAACATCCATTCAACAACATCTGTTCAACATACTCCTATAGAACCTTGCCACTACCCTCTCTAGAGGTAGCCTAATTCCCCTCCCCTCAAGCCCTTATAACCAATAGACCGTGGTGGAAGTGAAATGAGATGACTCCAATGCTAGACCATAAAGGCTATAGAGCTTGTTTGCTCACAGCCTCTTTGGAAGCAAGAGCTGATGTATGGTTAAGTCCAAATGCCCTGAGGGTGCCATCCTGCAAGGAAACGCAAACAACAAGGAGAGGCCCAAGTAACTGGCCCCATCAATAGCCCCAACTAAAGTCCCAGCATCAACAGTCATACACTTGAGTGAAAATTGCCACCAGACGATGCCAGCCCCAGCTGTCGAGTCACACCCAGGCATCCAAGCCCAAAGACATCATGAAGCAGAGACAAGCATCCTCACTGTGCCTTGTCTGAATTCCTGATCCACCAAATCCATAAGTATAATAAAATAGTTGTTTTAAGCCACTAAATATTGGGATAATTTGTTACACAGCAATAGTGACTGGAACATCATCGTTATAGATTGAATTGTGTCCCCCCATAAGATATGCTGGCCTGCTAACCTCAGAATGTACCCCAGGATGTGACCTTATTTGTAGATAGGGTTTTGAGGTAGTTAAGCTAAAATGAAGTCATTAGGGTGGGCCAAAATTCAATATGACAGATGTCCTTATAAAAAGAGTATACTTATACACAGACATGCATGCATAGGGAGAGAACTCCATGTGAAGATGAAGATAGGAAGCCAGGTGATATTTCTACACCCCAAGGAACACCAAAGATTGCCAGCAAACCACCAGTGGCTGGGAGAGAGGCATAGAACAGATTCTTCCTCACAGCCCTCTGAAGGAACCAACCTGGCCAACACCTTGATCTTGGGCTTCTATCATCCAGAACTGTGAGACAATGAATGTCTGTTAAGCCACCCCGCTGGCGGTACTTTGTTACAGCAGACCTAGAAAACTAATACAATCATCCAAAAATTTAAAGCGGCAGTTTGAAATGAAGGAGATTAGAGGGGGTCAGAGCTAAATATCTGAGAGTCACCCGTAGAGAGGAGATTTTTGAAATCCTGGGGAATCACTGCAACTGCAGTGATTACCAGCAACTGCAGAGAGGAAAAGTATGGAGTTAAGGCAGGCTCTTGGGAAGAAAAGGTGTAGCTGGTGGACAGAGAGAAGTTACAGGTAGGACCGGGTAGAAGCAGGAACCAGTCTCAGAACAGAGGGAGGAAGAGATTGATTGGCAATGCCAAATCTGCAGTTATCAAGGAGTCTGGGGCTGGGGACCAGAGGTGTCTATGGAGCAGGGAGAACAGAAGATTAGGAAAGAGTAGGTGATGAAGAAGGGAGGACGCAGAAATTTGAAAGTGGATAAAAAAGGTGGATGGATTCATCAGTGGAGAGGGCAGTACCGCTCAGATTGGTACCCAAAATAATAGTGTTGGGTACACAGCTGAAAAGCAAAGAGAAAACACAAGGAAGAGAGTGTGGGAAGAGAGCGAGCCAGAGAGCACAGCAAACATCAAGGAAAAGCTGCTCAGATGATAACTATGGAAACAGATCCATTTTTGTGTTTGAAAACATTTTTATTATAAAAGTACTTGCATATTTTAATTTTTTTTTTAATTTCCAACCTCCAGATGTATACCAAGAAAATTAAATCATAAAAACTATCTTGGAATACAGGTGAATGCCCCACGATGTGTCCCAAAATGTTATTCGTTTTCTCCTGAGTCTTGCATATTTAGGATTTCATACTTTCACTGTCCTAAAGAGTTTCCACATGCATGTTCAACTGCTCTTCTCACTTTCTTTCTGGTCAGAGAGTCCCCTCTCTTTTTTAGTAACTGTTATTAACAGTTGCAGTAGTAAAGCAGTGCATGTTTTTCTGTTTGTTTGTTTTATCTTTTTAACATCTTTATTGGAGTATAATTGCTTTACAATGGTGAAGCAGTGCATGTTTACAGTTTGAAATTTTTTTAGAGTTCAAAAACATA